TGATGTTTTAATCCCAGTATTCCTTTTTTTTTTCTTTTTTCAGAGAGGTTTTCTCTATAGGGCGCGTGCGCTCGCTAAAAAGACAGAGAGAGACAGAGAGACAGAAAGCGAGAAATCACCCCCCAGGGGGGATGGCCACACCACAATCCCTTCACCCCCATTCTCCTCTCGGGATCTCGGGCACGCACGCACACGCGCCCGGCGTGAGTTTTAAGCCACCGGGTCCGGGACACGAACCGCGGTCGACTACCAGGGACATAGCCATTTTGCTAACTGCTGTTCCCCCTTCTACTGTTTCTGATCCCTCCCACGGGGCTCCTGTCACCAAGGTGGTCAGTGGGGCTGAGGTTCCAGTGACCTCCCCATTAGGCCACATGGCATGGTGGGGGAGGGCAGAGGGCAGACCAGGCCCAAAGACGAGGGCACGAGGCCCACAATGGGCTGGTTACACAGGGGGCCTCGAACATGACCTGGTGACACGGGGCAGCTCTGGGATCCTGTAATAGGAGGTTCACCAGGGATGTCCCTCCCAGGACACAGAAGTGGGGGGAAGAGGGGGAGGCGGCAGGTGCCGTGGTGGTCGAGGTGCTGGACTCTCACATGGCTGATTGTGGTTCAAATCCCAGACTCCCACATGGCTGACCGTGGTTCGAATCCCAGACCTGGTGGCTTGCCTTCTCACTCTCCTTCTCTCTCCCTCTGTCTCTCTCTGGTCAAATGGAAGAATAATTATAAAATAATTCTTTAAAAAAAAAAAAAATAAGAACCAGGGGGGTTGATGTCTGGACGGCCCTGAGCCCAGGCCAGGCCCATGGCGGGGGTGTGTGGCCACTCCAAAGCCAGATCCAGGCCGAGGGCGCAGCCAGGGCGGGCGGTAAGTGGCCTCCAGAGACGGCCCTGACCGGGGCTGCTGACGCACCGGCTCCGATGACTCACGCGCGGGTGACCGTGACTCGAGTGACCGTCTGGAGACTCGGACCGACTCAGGGCCGCCACCGCTGCCTTCTGGGGGGCCTGTGGCCCCGCCGCGCCCACCGCCCCCTGTCTGGGGCCGGCCTGAGTAATGGGTCCTTCCCCTGGTCTTAATGACCAGCTGGAGAGGACCTTAGTCATCCGTCTCGGGCCCCAGCCCTCCCTCCTCCTGCCCACCTCCGCCCAGGCCATGCCTGGCTTCTCGGTGCAGCCGCGGGGGACTCCAGCCTCCCCTGGCCTCCTGCCTTCCAGAGCTCCCCAGAAACAGCAGGGCCTGGTGTGTGGGAGTGAGCATGGGGGATCAGGGGACAGTCGGCCCCTCTATAAGACGGAAGAAGACAGTGGGGGTGCGGTGGTCTGGCCAGGGATGCAAAGAGGAGGGTGAGGAGGAGGAGGGCGAGCTGCTGCCTCCCTGCCTCCCATCGGTGGAGGCCCCACACCCTGCAACCAGCCAGGATGGGCCTCGTTGAGACTCCCGGGCCAGGGCCATCTGAAGTCACAAACAGGAGCCCTGGGACTTGGTGCCGCCTCGTGTCACACTAGGGGCCACCAGGTCGCAGCCGGTCTCTCTGCTTGAGGCCCTTGGCCCTTGTCTTTTTCTTTTTTTAAGAGGATTTTGTCTTAGGGCATGTGCACTTGCTGGGGGTGAGAGAGAAAGAGAGGGAGAGGCGGTGAGAGGGAAATGGAGAAATCACCCCCAGGGGGCATGGCCACGCCGTCCCTTCTCCTCTGTTCTTTTCTCCGGATCTTGGGCACGCACGCACACGCGCCTGGCGCGATTTTCAAGTCACCGGGTCCGGGACTCAAACCACGGTCAGCCATGTGGGAGTCCAGTGATGTAACCGCTATGCCATCTGCTGGTCCCTCTGCCTTTTCTCAGCTCACCCTCACCCAGCATCAGGGGGACAGGACTGTCACTTTGCACCAGAAACCTGAGTGAATTCTTTTTTTTTGGAAAGTTTTTTTCTTATTGGGTGCGTGCACTAGCCAGAAGGACAAAGAGAGACAGAGAGACAGAAAGCGAGAAATCACCCCCCAGGGGGGATGGCCACGCCGCAATCCCTTCTCCTCCATTCTCCTCTCGGGATCTCGGGCACGCACATGTGCCCGGCGTGAGTTTAAGCTACCAGGTCCGGGATGCGAACCGCGGTCGACTACATGGGAGTCCAGCGACAAAACCATTATGCTAACTGCTGGTCCTGTGACCACTGAATTCTCAGCTGGCTTCAGCCTGCCACGACCCTGCTGGCCAGCTGGGCTGTCCCTGCCTTCAGAGTGCTGGGAAGGCCTCTTACTTGCTGGGGAACTCAGAGCTCCTGTGGCTGGGGGGGCCGGCTGGCCACCTCCGTGTTTTCCTGTGCTTCATTACACGGGGATTTCAAAAAGTCTGTGGCAAATAGAATGAGATTAAGAGCTTTAGTGCAGGGACCAGCAGTTGGCGTCATGGCTACGTCGCTGGACTCCCATGTAGTCGACCACGGTTCACGTCCCGGACCCGGTGGCTTAAACTCATGCCGGGCGCGTGTGCAACCGCCCAGGGCACCTGTCTGGCAACCACCTGTCAGAAGGTGTTAGAATTGGGACCAGCAGGTGGCATGGTGGTTAAGGCGCTGGACACTCCCATGTGGTCGGCCACGGTTCGAGTCCTGGACCTGGTGGCTTGCTTTCTCACTTTCCCCTCTCCCTCTCTGTCTCTCTCTGGTCAAATTAAAATGAATGAATAAATAAATAAATAAATCTTTAAAAAGACGTTTTGCTTGTGATGGATTCAGAGCATTACAACTTAATCCGACCGTGGTGTTAAAAGGTAGAGAATTTTAGATTAGGGTCAAGGGAAGGGTGCCCATGACTGACACCTGATGGGGTTAAAAGGAGAGGGAATGAGACTTGTTGGGAATCCTGTGGACACAGAGCATGTGTAAAATGAAGTAAAGAGTTCTTGGGACGAGCAAGTGGCATGGTGGTTTAGGCACTGGACACTCCCACATGGTCAACCGTGGTTTGGGTCCCGGACCTGGTGTCTCGATTTCTCATTTTCTCTCTCTCTCTCTGATAAAAATTTTTAAAAAAATGAATAAATAAAATAAATAATTCATTAAAAAATAAGCAGTTCTCTTTTTTTAACAAGTTATTTCATTTTATTTATTTATTCATTTAAATTTTTTTTATGTATTCATGCATTTATTTTAATTTGACCAGAGAGAGACACAGAGAGAGAGAGAGAAAGAGAATGAGAGAAAGCAAGCTACCAGGTCCAGGACTTGAACTGTGATCGACCATGTGGGAGTGTCCAGCGTCTTAACCACCACGCCACCTGCTGGTGCCCTCATTTTATTTATTCATTCCTTTTTTTTTTTTTTTCAAAGAACCTGGCTGACTGTGGTTTGAGCCCTGGACCTGGCGGCTTGAAACTCACACTGGGCGTGTGTGCATCTGTGCCCAAAATCCCGAGAGGAGAATGGAGGAGAAGGGATTGCGGCGTGGCCATCCCCCCTGGGGGGTGATTTCTCGCTTTCTGTCTCTCTGTCTCTCTCTGTCTGTCTGGCAAGCACACATGCCCTATAGCAAAAACCTCTCCAAACAAATTTTTATTTTTATTTATTTATTCATTCATTTATTTTTTAATTTGACCAGAAAGAGACATGGGGGAGGGGGGGAGTGAAAAAAGCAAGCCTCCAGGTTCAGGACTTGAATTGCGGTCAGCCATATGGGGGTGTCCAGCGCCTTAGCCACCATACCACCTGCTGGTCCCTGTAGAAATCTCTCTTAATAAAAAATTGGGGGGGGGGAACCAGCAGTTAGCGTAATGGCTATGTCGCTGGACTCCCACGTAGTCGACCGCATTTCGTGTCCCGGACCCGGTGGCTTAAAACTCACGCCGGGCGCGTGTGCGTGTGTGCCCAAGATCCCGAGAGGAGAATGGAGGAGAAGGGATTGCGGCGTGACCATCCCCCCTGGGGGGTGATTTCTCGCTTTCTGTCTCTCTGTCTCTCTCTGTCTGTCTGGCGAGTGCACGTGCCCTACAGTGAAAATCTCTCCAAAAAAAAAAAAATTGGGGGGCTAGCTGATGGGGTGGTGATTAGAGGCATCGGACTTCCACATGGCTGACCGCAGTTCGAGTCCTGGACCTGGTGGCTTGCTTTCCTGCTTTCCTCCTCTCTCTCTCTGGTCAAAATAATTGTAATGATAAATAAAGTTAAATAAAGTCATTCTTGAAAAAAAATCAATGTTTTAAGATTTTTGCCATAGGGCATGTGTGCTCACCAGAAAAAAGACAAGAAGAGAGGGAAAGCGAGAAATCATCCCCCAGGGGGGATGGCCACGCCTCAATCCCTTCTCCTCCATTCTCCTCTCGGGATCTTGGGCACGCACGCACACGCGCCCGGTGTGACTTTTAAGCCACCGAGTCTGGGACTTGAACTGCAGTCGACTGGGAGTCCAGCGATGTGTAACCACGATGCCGGTCTCAAGCGTCATGTATTTGAGCTTCCTCCCCGCACCGTGCACGGGAACATCACGGCATCTGAGCTGGGTCTCCCCGCTGCTCTCTCCGCAGCATGGCGGATAAGAACGGAGCCCTCAAGTGCACCTTCTCGGCGCCCGGCCACAGCACGAGCCTCCTGCAGGGGCTGGCCACCCTCCGCGCCCAGGGCCAGCTCCTCGACGTCGTCCTCACCATCAACAGAGAGGCCTTCCACGCCCACAAGGTGGTCCTGGCTGCCTGCAGCGACTACTTCAGGTGAGGGGGGCGAGCCGGGCCACTGGGGAAAGGGCACCTGCCTGTGGGGATGCGGGGCCGGG